ACGAAAATCGCCGATTCCGACACATGCTATTTTTTTTACACAGGGCGTGAAAGTGAAAACAGAGTAACCCTTGCAATAAATAAAGAAAGTACTAGCCTAGGCTATCGTTTTTCAACTTTCCTGTATTTTACACTTCCTTTCATTGGTCCCTGTGTAAAAGAGGGGTTTTTACTGTAAACAGAAAGTATTAGATTAGTAAGTTAAGATTACTATTAACAGAAAGTATTTATAATCCCACAATTGCAGATGTATTAAAGATTACAATTAAATCTGCATCCAATACAAGGCAAGCACATTTCTGCGAAATCTGTTAATGTATTTTATACGTATAAATTTTTATAACCTTTTGTATTTGGACCAAAAAGAATCTGTATAGTGAGTCCTCAGAAATCAAAGCTATGAGGTCCAAATACTTGAGAAGCAAATATTTTTTTAATTTCTCTAAACATTTTGTAAGACTAGGGCACAATACACTAATTTTAATGACATTTCATTTTCATTATAAATATTCAAAAAATTGGAGGGGGCATTTTTGATATTTTGTACTTGGTTTTGTTGACTTTTTCAAGAGATGGTTGGTAGATTGGTAGGATAGTAGTTGGAATATTATATGAGGTACTCAAAAAGTTCCTGGCATTGGTCAAAATGTTTTTATTTATGAAAGGCACAGTAAACTAAATTCATTTTCCTTTAAAATACTCCCTTCCTTCATTTAAACACTTTCCCCAACATTCGTATAATTATTGAAAACAGTCCGGAAAGCCATTTCTTGATAGCTCTATACGATGCCTGGTTGCATTGTCCATCACCTTTTCAGAATTAACAAATAGTTGCCCTTTCATTTTCATTTTTAGCAAGGGAAACAGGTAGAAATCGGCGATTATGAGCTTGGGTGAGTAGAGAGGGTGTTCAAGAGTGATAACGTTATGCTTGGTGAGGTAATCTTTCACCAGTAATCTCAATCAAATCTCTTGCCTTTGACATTCAAGTTTCTTTTTGCTCTGGAGACAGCATTTTCAGTACCATGTGCAAGCACACCCTACACATATTCAATGTATTTAGAATAATGCTGTAAACATTCCCATAAGATAAATTGATTTTAGATGCAATTTCATGAATGGCCATTCTTCTGTTTGCACAGATGGTACAATGAACACGCTCTATGTTTTTGTTTTGACAGAGATGGATGCGCACAGGTTATCTTCAGCACTAGCTCGACCTTCATGGAAAAGCTTATGCCACTCATAGAATTGTGACTTTTTCATCAAATCTCTCCCGAAGGCTACTGTTAACATCTCAAGAGTTGCAGATTGTAATTTGTTCAGCAGACTACAAAACTTTAAAATGCGACAAATTCAAAAACAGCACAACTCACTGACAAGTTGACACACGCATCTGGGCAGCTCAGTGGTATCACAGAGAGAGTTTCCAATGTCAACAATTGAAATCCTTAAAAATTGTTTCACAACGATGTAGCACCAATTCCAGGAACTTTTTGACTCACCTTCACAATATTACATAACACTTCCCACTAATACAAGTGTTGTAGAACCACTAATTTTTACATAAATGAAATATACTGACTTCCCTTCAGAAGAATGTGACAAGCACCAAGAGTCATATTGATGAGTTAAACAATTTGCCTTGATTATTTATCTGTATGTGAAGAAAAAATTGAATTGTGAAATGTTAAATAATTATGTCAAGACAATTACACATTAAAGAGTGTATTTTAGAAGTATAACAATTAATGGTTTTTGGAATGTTATATTTCTGACAGAGTATCTGATAGGTCTTTTGTGATATCTATGTCTTGTAAGTTTAGAAGTTCTTTTTGTATTAATATTACAATATTCCAGTGGTGCCCAAAATTTCTCTTACTATTGCTTACTATCTTAAACCAAGAAACTTTTATTCTGTAAAAAACAAAAATAGAGCACTTGCTTACTATCTTAAACCAAGAAACTTTTATTCTGTAAAAAACAAAAATAGAGCATTTGTAAATTAAAGCTAAGTTCTCTTAAAAAGTGGCTTTCATAATTGTGTTAATACATTTTCTGAGGATTTTTATATGAAATCAAAATCTACTATAACATCAAAGTCAATTAAAAAAAAAAAATTGGTTAGGTACAGCAGACATTTTTAAGAGATTTGCACTGGAAGAAAATTTGACAAACATGTGGTTATTTGCAATACTAACCAGGTTCTACAGTGATCACCATACCAGGTTCCAGTTTAATGCTTCGAGGAATAAGAGCAGTGTCATGAACATCCATTCCAAGATAATGACTCACGTGGTGGGGACAAAAGCTGTATGCAGCCTAAAAATACATCAATACATTAGTAATGAGTCAAACTGCACTAAAAGTTCTTTTTTTTAATTGCCATCACACTTTCTTGTCATACAGAAACGATGCACCCAAGCACCAATGGATGAATCAGGAAAGAAAATAATAAACAAGACTTTGTATCCCATTGAATAGTTAATTGCAATTAATCAAAAGATCTAATTCTTACTTTCATGCCTTAAGAAGGTTATTTTTAAGAAGAGAAAGTTATGTAATGCTGCAGGAAAAGTGGCGAATTTTTGGCCGTAAAACTTATTGTCAGTCACAAAAAAGTGAATAAATCCAGTCGAAAAATTTAAGAGGAAAAATCCTCCAACACCATAGTCATGTTTTGTGCGTCCTTGATATCAAAAAAATGATTGACCGCAAAAAGGCAGTCCTTCCATCTGTGAACAACCTTGAGGCTAAATCTTTGAGCCGATTTCTCCAAAATTGATATTTCTCAATCAATATGGCTGCTATCCTTTCAATTTGAAACCGATGTTTTAATTTTGAGGGCTACTTTACATAAAGGCCCTGGGACATTTTCCAAATATTCAAAAAAATGGCTATTGTTTTTTATTAAATTGTGATCTTGAGTAGTGTTAAGGACTGTTAAGAGGATGGTGCAGGTCTCATGTTGATTGAATGCCCTGATTTTTTTAAAACTGAAAAGATTCATTTTTTTTGGCATCAATACAACTACAACTCAATTATGATATTTTTTTCTTCATGAAAAAGTACTAAAAATAATATCATGTTCAATTTTGCCACAAATGCATTATAATGCCACAAAAGGAGGAGTCCTCCCATAATGCATGATGTTGCATGTTTTTCTCGTATAACAGTCTATGTCAGTTTTATCAGGTATTGTTGAAAGAAGTACTATCGTTCCACTTTTCTTTGGTACATATGAAACTTGAGTAAAATTATTCTGGTATCCAAAAGTAGAGGATTCTACTTCTTGTATTTTGTTAGGTAGATACTCAGGAAGTATTTTTTTCACAGTCGCTACTGTTGTCAAAACAATATATAATAGTAGTTTGACAATGTATATTTTGTGTAGTAATTGTGTTGTCACTTTTCAGTTGGTTTTTCGTATATGTGAAACTAATCTCACAACAATATCATCCAGAGAATTTGATACTCGTGTTGCATGGAAAGCAACAGACTACATGAGCTGCGACAAAAGGCACCAGAAAACTGCACTATTGTGTTGGCAGAGATCATTCCAACACCATTTGATGACTGTTGGAATACTTCCCGTGCTCAGCTACGAAATTTTCCGTTAAAATACATGAAAAGCAAAAATGTCTGCACGTTGCACTCAGTTTAACCCTTGAGCAGGCGCGCTGTTGCACAGTGTCCTTTACACTTGATCAAGTCATAGATCAAAAGCCTACAGTGTGAAAACCCCTGAAATAAATTTGTAATATGAATTTACCTTCAAGAGCTCATTGTTACCAAGCTTCGATGATAAAACTCCAAGTTCTTGCAAATACTTTCCTAGTAAGATACACATGTTATGAAAAAGATCATCTAGTGATGGGAAGCCCTTTTCTAGAATTGCTAGCAATTCCGTCTGCACTAAAAGTACTACATCATACAGGGCACGTTGGGTAGATGAAAACTGACCACATACAGGCCATGTACGAGTAATATCAGAGCAATAGCCATGGAGCTCACAACCAGCATCCATAAGCACCATTTGTCCTGAATGAACAACTTGATTATTATTAATGTAATGAATGATATTGGCACGACTTCCACCTGCAACAAAGAAGTAAATTTATTAATAAAAATTATCTTTCTGGTTATGTTACAGTCATTTTCTAAATTGAAGGATTGAGAATTATAAGGTAGTAACTGTGTTTTCACTATTTTACAGTACAATGAAAACAAAGTTTGTTAATTCTGTATCTCTCTTAATACTTTAAAATTGCGTAAGATATTCACTAAGGGCAAAGTCCAATATGTTTATTAGTAAAATATCTATTTAACAACTACCATTAACTTTATTTGCCTGTTAAAACTAATTTTTATACTAACTTTTTTGCGGCAGGTCCTTTGAAAAATTAGAAGGGTACTAACAATAAAATAATCACATCTACACATTGAGAAATAATTTTGCCAGACTGATGTTAAATTAAATAGTTCTTCAAAAAAATTCGAAGCAGTATTAATCTAAATTTATTGGATTACATAGCTAGTTCCATACTTCAATGGAATTCAAATCCTCCTTTTCATATCGATCATTTTCTTGGGAAAGATGCAGGGTTACGAGTTTCTCTTGTTTAACAAAAATTCTACAAAGAAGAACATCTTATATACAGGTGGAAGGTCCATTTGTGTTTTCAGATCTTAATATATAAAAACATTTACATATTGACATCAGTAATTTGTTTTTACTTTGTCGCTATGGAGTAGAGAGAAAATTATGTAATGCTGCATGAAAAAAGTGCAAATGTTTGGCAGAAAAAACTCTTTATTACAGGTCCCTAGTAACGAGAAATAGAATAAATAGAATAGATACTTCAATTTTGAGGGATCCTTTACATGAAACCCCTGGGACATTTAAAAAAAAAATGGCTCCAAATTTTTTATTAAATTTAGTTGTTGGATAGTATGAATGACGTTTAAGAAAATGGTGAAGGTCTCAGTTGTGTTAAATGATGACATAATCAAATGATAACATTTTCAAAACAAAACATTGATTTTTCGAAAACCGTAAAAATTCAAAATTGTTTCAGTGCCTTCCTACAACTACAATTATGAAGACTGAGATTTTTCCCACAATGAAATCTGTTCCTTAAAGATTTATTTTGAAATAAGGTTTTGTATCATTTTTCGACAATGAGTACTTTTCATGGAATTTTGTACATGCTGTTTCAGCAACCCTAGTTTCATTCTGTAAAAACCTCAATTTTGTCTTATGTTTGTTAAGATAAATTTTTAAACTACAGCCTGTCAGATAATCTGAGGCCAAATTCATAAATATAATTTATTTTAATAGTGACAGACAATTTTCTGTTTATTAACAAAAGTAATCCATGCTTCCTATTGGCTACACCTAAAATTCTATAGACTGCGCTAGTTATGGGATCGCGTAAACAGATAGTTCCCTACTAATATTTTGGCCCAAGGGGGGTTCAAGATCATCATTATCACAATTGGCGGTGATAGATGAAAACAAAATGATTGACCATTTTCTATGCACAAAATAAAGAGTAAAAAAACATGTTTATCTCAATGGTGTCCCTTATAATTCTCAACCTTCAATTAAGCTGAAAACCTCAAAGATAGGAATCATTATTTTTACATGTAGTAGTGAGTATTGTAAGAGTATGTAGTATTGAGAAAATATTAAATAATGCCCACAAATGTCCATTTTTCAACAAAGAAAATGCGATTGTGGGTTCCTGATACATTTATGAATTTTTCTGACTCCCATATGTAGTAAATTTCTTTTGCTAACTAGTTGTGTAGTTACAATTCAAGTAAAGGGGGTCTTTGATACCAAAAAAAGTGGTTTTGGGAAAAACGCCTGCCCGCCCGCCTTGAATTACTTCTTAATAGAAATAAAAAAAAATTACCTATAAAAAAGGGGCATTTTGTTTTGTTAAAACATAAAATGAATTTCTATACTAAAAGGCATTGTTCTTAAAGTGGGAAAAACCATTAAACTCCACCGCCTAATCATAATTAGAGCCCTGAAATCGGGTAAAATGCCTCATTGTTACCATTACTATTTTATGATTTTCAACAATAAGAATCTCCTAAATGCTAGCAAAACTGTTTTAATCCACAAGCTCTCTACTTACAAACATTTATACATGCTGTATTATCTCATACAGACCTTTACATTTTGCGGGAAGTAATGTTTTCATGGCTTTCTCAGCTTCTAATATTTTATATGCAATATATTCAATATCTTTAACTCTCTAACATTTCTTTATCCTTTAAGCCCCTAAGGTGTTTGTAATTACACAAATGCAAGGCCCTCTAAAGTAGATCTTTTTCATAAGCAATACATCCAATGCATGCTTTAAAAATATAAAGATATGCTTGATTTTTTCAAGATTTACATTATTCTTAAATCAAAATGAAAACATATTGAACGTAACAACTGAACAAAGAGGTATAATTGCACTTGCGGTAAATAAGAAAACTAGCTCCTACTATTGCTCATTTTCTTGAACGTAACAGTCTTGCAATTACACCTCTCTCTTCCACTCCTTTCGTTAATTGCTATAATAGTCTACTTCTATTAATAAAACTAACCATTAATGAGAAATTGTTGGACTTCTTTCTTATGGCCTCTTATTTCACATTACACTAATTCTACTGAATTATAAAGTTCTTTCTACAATACAAAGACTCTTCTCTTTTTGAAACCATTTTAACATAAAATGAATACTACTGGTTTTAAAACCACAATCTGCAAAAGCCCAGTACACAGGAATGAAAATTAATATTATATATTAACGAACCACAGGCCAAAAGGTGCTTTAATGTGATTTACTTAATAAGATTATTGATCAACAAAGAAAGAAACAAACAAACAAAAATGACTGCACTAAAGGATATTTCCCTACAATGACCAGTTGAGGTGTTATTAGCGTTTTCGTGGAAATGCTTTCAGAAGTTGCATTATCCATAAGATTTAACATGTTTACAGCCAACAAAATAACGTCAGAGATTATCGCCAGTCGCTAATGATAGAATTGTAATTTACCTGCATTACACTGACTGGTTCAATAGCGAAATGGAAAGTAAAGCATGCATTAATCCAATCCAGATGATATGCTAGCACTACACAAAAATCTCTAAAAATATAGGCAATACACATCTCATTAATATTTTTCTCTAAATTCAAATTACTTTCAAAATTAAAAGCAATACCTAGCATTACATCTCTCTTAGGATAATATGGAGTAATTTTGGATAATATGGAGTAATATACCCATCCAAATGTTTACTCAGTTGGAAAAAGGTGTTGACAGCAGTAATAATTTTGATCATGAGGAAGTGGATGGGTCCAGGAAAAATCAGTGTAAATGCTGGGAAAATAGAAATTCAGAGAATGTAAAAGCAGGGATTTGGTTTAGTTTTGCATTCACTGCAGAATAAGATTTTCATACTTTTCACTGTATTTACTGAATATGTAGAAACTATCTACAAAGAACAAAAAGAGAAATAAGTAAATAAAGAGAGAAAGAAA